CTGGTGCCAGGATGGCGCCATTTGCCCATTTCAGGAATGGTGGTATAGGATGCAATGGGTTTTATAACAAGGAATTTTCCATAGTCTGTTTCTGTATGGGTTTAGGCTGATGAATGGGACAGAGTAAAACCATACAGACCTAAGTCAATCTAACACCACAGACACTTCCCTATTCAAGCCTTAAGAGGTTCCAGCTTCCTTAGAAAGTCTATACCATTAAATCTTTGCCACAGCCTTACATTCTCTCCTTTTCCACATAAACAAGCCACAGCAGGATCCCTTTTCTTGTAATTGAAATGTAGAACTTATGCATATACAGCCACTGGGCACCTCTCTGAAGCTGTTGTAGAGTATCTGTCATTCCTTCTGGCTGCCCAGCACCTTTGAACATCATTCTTCTTAAATCTATTCCTTTCCTGGGTAGAAGGCAATCATTCATTCATTCATTCATCCATCCATTCATTCATTTATTCATCTATCATCCATTCATTCCTAAGTGTCTACCAGGTTGCAAGCTCTGCTTTAGGTTCTTAGAATACTATCAGAAAAATAGTCACATGAGGGTTTTGAAAAATTAGCTGGGCATAGTGGCGAGCACTATCTCTCTCTCTCTCTCTCTATTTTATTACTTTATTTTTTTAGATGGAGTTTCACTCTTGTTGCCCAGGCTGGAGTGCAGTGGCACAGTCTTGGCTCACTGCAACCTCTGCTTACTGGGTTCAAGCGATTCTCCTGCCTCAGCTTCCCAAGTAGCTAGGATTACAGGCATGCAGCATATGCCTGGCTAATTTTTTTATTTAGTAGAAATGAATTTTCACCATGTTAGGCTGGTCCCTGACCTCCTGAAGCTCATGTTCTAGCAGGTGGGAGACAGGTGCTGAAGAATGAACTTCCCAGCATGGGCAACATAATAAAATCTCATCTCTACAAAAAACAAAAACAAATGAAAACTTTAAAAGTTAGCTGGTCATAGTGGCGAGTGTCTGTATCCCCAGCTATTTAGGAGGCTGAGGTAGGAGGATCACATTAGCCCAGGGGTCAGGGCTGCAGTGAGCCGTGATTGTGCCACTGCACTACAGCCTGGGTGACAGAGAGAGAGAGCTTGTCTCAAAGAAAAAAAAAAGAACTTCACAAGTAGGTCAGTCAGAAGATAAACAGTATAAAAAAGAAAAAATAGAGTCACATGAGGGTTTTGAAAAGCCACAGTTGTGAGATGGAGGCTGTAATTTTAAATATTCAGATCAGGAGTCTGGGTAGCTTCATGGAGGCATTGTAGATAAGAAAACTGATCATTTTAGATCATCTGACTCTAACTCAGTAAGAGCAGAGTGCTTACTGCTGCTAAAAAGGTGTTTCCACAGCCTGATGAGCAGAGAGGCATATGATATCTTTAGGGAAGTGGATCAAATAAAAATAAATGCCTTGAAATAAAAGTTCCCGGTCAGAAGCAGTAGGTGACACGTCTGGAAAGAATATGATGAACCTGGAAGATGGAACTAGAAGTCTGAACATGGTAGTAGGGAACCTTGAAGGTTTTTAAGCAGCAGCAATGTGAGGGTGGACTTCATTTTCAGATGAGGAGAGGAAAGACCCAGGTTCACAGGCTATGCTTTATCTCCTATGAGAGGACTCAGAAACGACGTATGCCAAGTTCACAGGGAATGACTAGCATTTGAGCATGGGGAGAAGACTTAAATCTATCACCGAACCTGGGATGTTGACTCCTAGAATACATGCTGGAGATGATGGGTCTATTATCCTTATTTCCAGCCCAAAGAGCCTGACATCTGCCAGAGTGAATTTTGACAGTTCTCAGACTCCTTCAGATCCTGGTTCTGCCTGCACTAGCTGGGTGGTCTTGGGTGAGTTCTTCATTAACTTCTTGGAGCCCGAGATTCTGAAGGGAGAATCTGAACCCACCCACACTGGATCAAACAAAAGTTTGGCTTCTTTCTAAATGACGGTGGCTGAGAGAAAATAGATGTTTATTTATCTCTCAATAATGATCCAGGGTGGATAGAGTAGCGCCATGGTGCAGAGGCACCCAGCCTCCTTCTACTGTGTTGCTCAGCCTCCCCCAGTTGAAGACGGCTCACCTCTGCATCTTCTGGGACCATACACCAGCCAGCGTAAAAGGAGAAAGGAAACGCATGACCCTTCCTTTCAAGTGCTTAACCTGGAAATTGCACATGTCACTTGGCCACAGTGGTAGGGAGGCTAAGAGATCCACTCATTATTCTTGACAGCCATGAACCCATCTAAAATTCAAGGGCTCTATTACTAAATGAAGAAGAGAAGAGCTATGTGGGGATGACAAGCCAGCTCACCAGTGTATGCACTCTATCTCTTTCCATCTCTCTCTCTCACTCTCTTTATTTTATTACTTTATTATTATGATTTTTAGATGGAGTTTTGCTCTTGTTGCCCAGGCTGGAGTGCAGTGGCACAATCTTGGCACACTGCAACCTCTGCTACTGGGTTCAGGCAATTCTCCTGCCTCAGCCTCCCAAGTAGCTAGGATTACAGGCATGCACCACCACGTCTGGCTAATTTTTTGTATTTAGTAGGAATGGGGTTTCCCCATGTTAGCCAGGCTGGTTGGTCTCAAACTCCTGACCTCAGGTGATCCACCCATCTCAGCCTCCCAAAGTGTTGAGATTACAGGCATGAGCCACTGTACCTAGCCTGACTCTCTTTAATATACTAGTTATTCAGATAAACATAATCTTTTATGTAGTGTACACAGCAAATGCCTGGCATAAAGTTGCTCTGCACTCTGATTAGTTCTCTTCCCTTATAGATGGAAGAATGGATCCTACAGGCATTGATGGTGCACCCACTATGTGCAACTGTAATGAGAAATACTAAGAGAAACACAAAGCGGAAGGCAGAGTGAGGCAGGCAGATGGTGCAGAATGAACGAGAGCAGGGTTGGGAAGAGTAAAGCACTGTAGTCACATTGTGTACGAAGTCCTTGGGAGCAAAGAGAAGGGAGTTCATCAGTCAACTTGGAGAATGAGAAAAGCCTCATTGAGGAAAGCACACTTGAGTTGGATTGTCATGATAAGTACAATGTTAGCAAACAGAAAAGGAAAGGAAAAGAATTCGGGTGAAGGGATCAGAAATCTCCCTGCCAGCACAAACCAAAATGACAATAATGTGCTATGTTTTACCCCTAAGAGTGACTAAAATGATATGGCCATAGGTACAGGCACAAGTACAGATATGGATACAAAAAATACACAGTGGTGGAGGAGTGGAGAAGGGGCACTCCCCACATATTCTGGTGGTGGAAGTGTATGCTGGCACAGCTTTTTTGAAACCTATCAAAATTTTGCAGAGCATACCAAAATTTAAAAGGCGCACATTCTTTGATCCAGCAACTCAATTTCTGGGAATCTATCCTACACAAATACTTGCACAACAGCTTAAAGTATATAATCAAGGATTGTATTTCAACATTGTTTATAAGAACAAACAACTACTATAACAATGTACAACCAAGCCAGCCCGTGACACAGAAAGGATTAAATAAAAGGCGGAGTGGTCATCCTACAGACCGCTCTTACAGCCACTAACAGACTGGGACAGAAAGCATGAACAAACTTCAAAGGATGGCCCCGTAACACCAGCGAGTGAAGAAAGCTCACAGCAGGACATTATGTGTGGCATGACTGCTTTTTGTACAAAAACTAAACTGATACATATAAATAAAAATAAGGCTAAACCAGAACCAAATGAACACGCTTACATCTCTATCTGATAACATGTTCACGTTTGTGCACTGGAAACTTCTGAAAGGAGATGGACCAGAATAAAAGAAAGTACTCTCAGGAAATGAGAGCTGAGGCTAACGAAAATCCTTAGTCATTGATGCTAGGGCTAAATATTGGAAACTAACTGTCCACTTATAGGCAATGAGGTTAAAAAATCATGATATTTTTACACGATTGACTTCTACAGAGCTGTTCAAAAGAACAAAGCTTTATCAATAAATAGGGAAAGAAAAATAAACAAACAAATAAGGAAACAGCTCCAAGACATGCTGTTGAGTTTAAAAAACCAGGTCTACAGCCGGGCACGGTGGCTCATGCCTGTCATTCCAGTTCTTTGGGTGGCTGAAGTGGGCAGATCACTTGAGGTCAGGAGTTTGAGACCCAGCGAGGCCAACATGGCAAAACCCTGTCTCTACTGAAAATACAAAAATTAGCCAAGAACGGTGGCATACTCTTGTAGTCCCAACTACTCTGGAGGCTGAGGCAGGAGAATCACATGAGCCTGGAAGGTGGAGGTTGCAGTGAGCTGAGACAGTGCCACTGTACTCCAGCCTCAAATAAATAAATGCAAGGTCCAGCATCCGACATATACTATCATTTATGTGACTAGTATAAGAGAAACATGTCTCTTTTGTCTGTGTGTGTGTGTGTGTGTGAGAGAGAGAGAGAAAGAGTGTGTGTGTGTGTGTGTGTGTGCGTGTTATTACAGGCACACTGTATTCCAACGGATATGCAAGAAAGTGGAAACAATAATCGCCTTTGGGTAGGGAACCTGAGTGACTTAGGAATAGCAGGAGAATGATTGCTCACTTCCCTTACCCTTTTATAATAGCGAATTTTGTCCCATACATATACACCTTTTTAAAAAATGTAGTGAAAATTTAACTTAGAATTAAGAAATACGTTTAAAAGGGCCTCCAGCTGTCCCACTCCTAGCTGCTCTGCTGAAGCAAATGCTGCCAGGGGAGAGCATAGAGTAGGGCCACTTTTGCTCTGCAGCGCTTGGTAAGTTTGGCTCAGCTCGGCAGATGTCAGTCAAATCTCAGTAACCCACTGGCTCAGAGTGACTGAGAGGAGTGCAGTGCAGAATTACAGGCTTACTTTGAAGCCTGGCATTTTAGGGCGTAGGTATAAAATCATACTGCAATTCACCAGTGTTTCATAATACATACTAAGGGCTGGTTATCTTGGGAAAGAACGATTTGGGGTAGGACATTTACTTACGAATTTAAGGCACAGTCAGGATGAGTGCTGTGGTCCACACACTGTAAGAGCTTCACTGGTCTACAGAAAGAAAATAATATTTAAGGGATTATTTAAATAACCTTCACCCATCAAACATTTATGGTTTGCCTGAAAAGTCCTGGAGATACAGTAGTCTCTGATCTCAAAGAATACACAAACTATTTCCTCTAAAAATAATAGTGGCCCAGCATGGTGGTGTATGCCTGTAATCCCAGCACTTTGGAAGGCTGAGGCAGGAGGACTGCTTGAGACCAGGAGTTTGAGACCAACCTGAGCAAAATAGCGAGACCCTGTCTCTACAAAAAAAAAAAATCTTAAAATTATCCGGGTACAGAGGCTCATGCCTATAGTCTCAGCTACTTAGGATGCTGAGGCGGGAAGCCCAGGAGTTAAAGGCTGCAGTGAGCTACAATCACATCACTGCACTTCAGCCTGGATAGTACAGTAAGACCCTGTGTCTAGAAAAAATAAAACATAAAAATATTAGCCAGCATTTATCGAGCACTTACTATGTAGGAAGACATTTGATATATATCTTTTGTAAGGATCATGTCATTTAATCCTCCTAACAACCAAATGGAATAGGTGCTTTATCTTCTCCAATTTACAGTTGAGAAAGCTGACCACAATAAACTGCCCAGGTTCTCGTAGTAGCAGGTTGAAGGGCTGAACTTGAACCTGCAGGCTGACTCCAGGGCCCAAGCTTCTCACCACTTCTGCGTGCACGTATGACATCCACAACCTGGTAAGTGCTTTGGGCAGAAGGTTGGACTGGAACCACATGGGTCACGGCCAGTGCTCAGGCATCAGAGAGGAAAGCTAACTTGCTGTGCACAGTAGAAGGAGAAGATGTGAAGTTCCAAGGCTGTTGGAGGTGGGGAAGGGAAGCTGCAAGGAAGACAGGAGGCAGGGCTTGGTGACACGTGGGGAGCTAGGCAGGAGGCAAGCCTAGACAGGATCTCTGTGGCATGATCACTGCAGGGGACCATGGAAGAACAGGATTGTGATATTGTTCTCTCTACGGCAGGCCATGTCATCTGTCCTTGACTCATCTGCCTTTCAGTAATGTCTACTTGATGCACATATTTTCAATAACAGTAGTTATCTGTTGTTGTTTATGCCCAGAAAAGGGCATGAAATTTCACTGAGTCTGATTCAACACAGTGTTGGGAGAAACCAACCAGGAGGTAAGGGAAGCTATGAAAAGTTAAGTCCCCTCCAAAATGGGCAAGAACCTCTGACTGATGTGGAGCAGAAGACAACGCCATCTGAATTTGAGGGGCAGGAGGTTCTCACGCCTGGGTTGGAGTTGGATTTGTTAGGTTAACTTTTGTTACTTTCCCATGTTATACCTTTCATTGTATCCTCTCTGCTCCTGGCAGTAACACAGAAACAGCCTATGGGCAGTAAAGAAATGGGAGCTTCCTCTTTCTTTACTGAGTCAGGCTTGAAAGAGAAGAACCCTGAGGCCGACTGAGGTGGGGACACCAACGGAGAGGAAGAAAGTAAGACCAGACCCAGGGCAGCTGTGAGGGGGACGGAGACTTGGGCTCTGGCCCAGGCTATTACAACTCAACCCAATGACATGAAAACAAAGCAAAGCGTTGTAAATGCAAAAATTTAGCTAAGATCTTCTCCATCATTGAGCTTGTTTTGTGTGTTTGTTTTGGTTTGGTTTTTGTTTTTTTTTTTTTATGGGGTTGAGGGTGAGTTGCTTTATTTTGAGACCAGGTCTTCCTCTGTCACCAAGGCTAGAATACAGTGGCACCATCATAGTTCACTGCACACTCTAATTCCTGGGCTCAAACAATCCTCCAACCTCAGCCTCCCAAGTAGCTGAAACTACAGGTGCATGCCGCTGCGCTTGGCTACTGAGCTGTATTGGAGTAAGGATTGAATACTTTTTAAAATTGACTACTGGTGCTTTGATTAAAGAAGGAAGAGCTTGGTGGGAGGAGGGAAAGAGCATGCTTTACAACCACGCAAAACTGGGTTCAAGACTCAGCTCTGTCACTGAGTTTAAAGCTTAAAGACAGATAAAACTAATAAATGACATTACAAATCTGGACAGTGGTTACTATGAGGGTGGTGACCAACAGAGAGGCCAGTGGGAGCCCCTTGGGATGCTGGTTACGTTCTGTTTATTGGTCTGAGGGCTGGTTGCAGGTATGCACTAAATGAGGAAACTTCACCCACCTGTGTACTCATGTTTTGGATATTTTTCTGTACATAGATTATATTTCCAGAAAGGGACATTTGCCTTGTTTTGTTTTTAAGAAGGGGTGATAAACAACACCCAACTTTTTTTTTTTTTTTTTTTTTTTGAGACGGAGTTTTGCTCTTATTACCCAGGTTGGAATGCAATGGCGCAATCTTGGCTCACCGCAACCTCCACCTCCTGGGTTCAGGCAATTCTCCTGCCTCAGTCTCCCAAGTAGCTGGGATTATAGACACGTGCAACCATGCCCAGCTAATTTTTTGTATTTTTAGTGGAGACGGGGTTTCACCATGTTGACCAGGATGGTCTCGATACCTTAACCTCGTGATCCACCCGCCTCGGTCTCCCAAAGTGCTGGGATTACAGGCTTGAGCCACTGCACCCGGCCCAACACCTAACTTTTGAGGGCATTGGCAGTAACATATAAGTAAAAGGTACAGATAACAGACCAGCCTTGAGGGGCTCCTTGTCTTGAGGAGGCATGGAGTGGGAGGGAGTGGTTCACACTTGTAGGGGGCTTTGCTCAGCTGGGAGAACGATCCCATGGGGCTTCTGGGAAGACAGAGAGTGGCAGAGAAGCAGGATGATCATGGGTGTTGGGCAATAAGAGAAGACCACTGACATCATTTCCACTCTGTGACACTCAAATGTTCAAGAAAGCCACTCAGTTTTTGCAGTATTGGATTCCAGCCCCTTGCAGAATCAGCAGGTCCACAGTATTAGAGGCTTAAGCAGAGAGAGCCAGAGGCAGGGATTTGAGTCCAGAGATGGCTTGCAACTACCTTATGGCTTAAGCGAAGTTTTTTTTGTTTTTTTTGTTTTTTAATTTCCAAGCAGGAAGGCTCACACATGATATCTGATTATAAGTATATAAAGCGTCTGGCCCATAAGTGCTCACCAGATGGTAGATGTTATCATTTTCCTATTGGTCTGTGGTCAAGATATATCTGTAAATGTCTCAAACAAACTCCCACCTTAGCACCTGTGATGCACAAGGACCCCGTAGAGATCCAAAGACATAGGAACCTCAGTCCTTGTCCTCCAGTGTCTCACTGCACAGTCAGCACAGTGAGAGAAGTGGGCATGAGCAAATGAGAAAGTGCCACTTTGTGTGTTCTTTAAGCTCCATGAAGATGGACTCTGGACAGCAGTGGGTGGGGCCCTGGCCAAATCCAGGCTAGAAGGTGTTCCTTGCTTCCACAACAAGAGGCCACCCAGAGGACACCACCCTGTGGACTTCAGAGCAGGGAGCCAGCAAGAGCCTTTAGGCAGCCCTCCTCCAAAATCACACACCACCTCTACAAGCGCACATTGATTATGCAGGCTGCCTACTGGTAATCATTAATACAGCTGTACTGGAACCCCATGTCCTTCAGCCTCTTTTCCAGGACTTTCATGCTGCCTTCCCCACAGGATTCCCTAAAACATAAAAATATATGATTAAAAAGTAAGAAAAGAGGAGGAGAGGAAGTTATCTCTCAGTTAAATGTAATTTCTTTTGACTATGTGCTCCTGGATATTCTACTCTGAGAAAGAAAATGGAATGTCTCTGATTTAAAAAGGGTTGCTTCCAATAAACCTTTGGGACCCAGGAGACAATGCTCTGAGGACCTCAGCACCAGGCCTGAAGCTGGGCAGCCAGGAGCACTGGGAGAGCCAGGGCCAGTGCATGTGCATGATGTCAGCCACCTGAGCAGTCTGTCCCCAGACAGTGACACATATCTGCGATGTACCCCAGGGGCTCAGCACAATGCTACCTGCCAATTTTTGTACCTTACACTACAGTGTATTCATTCAAAGTTTTAAGTAACCACCAAAACATACAAATTTTAAAATATTAGAAAATGCAAATAAACAAAAAGTTTTAGAAATTACCTGAAATCTCATACCCCTAGATATAACTGATGTTAACATTTTGGTGTATATAGATCTAAACTTTTAAAATATATTTATTTCTGCACGTTTTTTAAAACATAGCAATGGGACTCTGCTATCCAATTTGTTTTGTACTCTGCTTTAGCTCTTGCGTATACACACACACACACACACACACACACACACACACACACATTCTCTGCCATTGTTTTTAGCTCCCGCATGGTCTCCCTTACATAAACAGACTATAACTCATAGAACCCGTCCTCTCTGGTTGAAGACCTAGGTTGATTCTTTTATTTCAATGCCATTTACGCTACAACAAACTTTGTTGGTGTGGAGTCCTAATTAGGACAAAAGGGAGTCAGGCTGGCAGGAGCAGGGAAAGGCAAAAAGAGAAAGCAGATAAGCTATAAGTCTGTTTTCTTCATGGTTCAGGATACACAGCTTTCTACACAAATAACTCAGAACTTCCCATGCCCAGCTATCACCAGACCCTCAGCTGATAGAAAAAGGCAAGTTAGCTCACTTGGTGTTATCAGAACTGCACGAAGTGCTCTTCAGCACACAGCACAAGCACCATCCGATGAAATCCCCAGCAAGCCTTTGTCTCCCTGCAGTCAGCTCATCTCTTGCTGACGTGCCTGTTGTACCCTTGCAACGTATTTTCATACTTTCACTAATTAATCTGTCTGTCTTTACCTTCAGCTGTCTTGGTAAATTCTTACCTCCCGTACCACCAGCCCAGATAGTCACTGATCAGAACTTCATTTTCATTCACATTCTTAATGATTTGTTCACTTGGCATAAATTCCTGAAAGCAGGTTTTCTGGCATCAATGATTTGATTACATTTTAAGGCCCTTATATAAACAGCTTGATAAAGTACGAGAGTGGCAATTTCCCACACTTGTACCAACAGTGATACTTGTCTGCTTTCATTAACAGTCACAATTAAGCAGGGAGAATTTACGATCACAAAACAGAGGTAGACACAACACCACCAGCTGTGGTTATTAGGCATGGTATATTATAGGCAGGGCCCTGAGTTTACATGAAGTGGGATGGTAAACAGCCTCCCCACTGCAAAATTAATAGAGGGGGAGTGTACAGGGAGGGAATAAGCAATTAGAAATTTTTACAGAAGTGGAATTCCAGGCATTACAGCAATGAAGAGAACAAAGTATTGAATAACATCATTTTTTAGAACTTTGACAATACCTGGGACAACGCCTTACTCTGAGCCAGGTTCACTACTTACAATTTTTTTTTAGTAAGCAATGACATTTAGGCTGCAGGACACCTGAACACAGAGATAAGTGAATGGGTTATTAAAATAACTATAAAGGCCAGGTGCAGTGGCTCACGCCTATAATCCCAGTACTTCAGGAGGCCGAGGCAGGTGGATCACCTGAGGTCAGGAGTTTGAGACCACCCTGGCCAACATGGTGAAACCGCCTCTACTAAACACACAAAAAATTAGCTGGGCGTGGTGGCAGACATCTGTAATCCCGCTACTTGGAGGTTGAGGCAGGAGAATCACTTGAACCCAGGAGGCAGAGGTTGCAGTGAGCTGACATCTGGCCACTGTACTCCAGCCTCAGAAACAAGAGTGAAACACCATCGCAAAATAAATAAATAAATATAAACTGTTTTTGTTTTCTTTTTTTTTTTTAAATAAAGGCAGCCCAAACCATGCTAAACACAATCAGGTGTCAGCCATGCTGATTTTAGCTCTCTGCTTATGGGTTTTATTTTTTAAACAAGTTTTATTTTGTATATTTGAGGTTTACAGCACAATGTCATTAGATGCATATAGACAGTGAATTGGCGACTGTAGTAAAGCAGGTTAGCCATCTATCGTCTCACAGTTACCTTTTTGTGTGATAAGAGCAGCTAAAATCTACTTATTTAACAATGATAATCCCTAAAACATTACAATTTTATTAACTATGCTGCTAATATGTTTTCCCTAAAATCTGAGCCAAAAGTCCCACTTTCTGAGACTATGACCTGCGTCTTCACCCTGTAGCTTAAATATACAACCAGGGGCTCTGACTCCTTTTGTAACTTCTCCTGGAGCAGAAAGGATGGGCTGAGATGACATTGAATTGCAATCCCCTTATCTTGGTAAAGGTAGGTTCAAAGCACAAAGCTTTCTCTGATAGATAACATAAAACAACAAGCAAGTGTAAATTCTAGACAGAGCAACTTCTCACAAAAATAAGACCAATGATACACATTTTTCATGCAAAAGTAAGTATAATTTGTCTTCTGAGAAGGGGAATGCAGATCTTGGTATTACTTATATAATTAAGTAGTTTTCAAATTTATCACAATCTATTGCCCAAGAGACGGGGGAAAAAATCACCCGTTAATATGGTGAGTATGAGAGGGTCGTGTGGGCTGACTAGGACACAGGGAATTCACTGAGTTTCTCCTAAACACTTTCAATGGGACCGCCACTCCTTGTGGTTAGTAAAACTTTCCTCCATTGTAGCACAGAGGGACTGTTCTGAAGGATAAGGTCCTAGCTTGCTTCCCAAGCTCCATTATGGCTTTTTAGCTTTAATTAGGCTGTGGCCTCATTGGCTTGTCTTTAAACCAAATCAGTTTAATTTTTTTTATCTTGAGTTTGTGCCAGCAGTGCCCTTTACTGCTGAGAAGGATGAGTTTAGCCTGCATTTACATATAAACTCGTTGTTTTCCAGAAAATGTGGATCATAAGTTTTCTTAATCAGTTATTCAAGACTCAGTTGAAGAGCTGGTTGTTAACTGAGAATAACATCTTAATGATAGAGTCCCTAGGTTAATTCTGAGAACCCCTAGTGAGGGCTTTTGAATTTCAAATGACCAGAAGAAGAAACTGACTTAGAGCCTCAGAAATGCATAAGGAACTTGCTCATCCAAAGCTGGCTGGGTCACTCAGAAGGGAACACTGTCTTCACTGGCTGCGAGGAGTAGCCCAGATAAAGGAGGTTTCCTCTCTGGGCTCAGGACTGGCTATCAGCATTGCCAGAAAGTCAAGCTTTTGTCTTTCTCTACCAACCCCATTAGAAACAAAGAAGGCTGTCATTTCCCCCAAACTGAAAATGTTAAATAAACTTTATCATATCATATACAAGAAAATCAAATTTGCACCATTATCACTATCAATATCACCATGACTTACACATTGGGTCCCCCGATTTCATGCATAACCCAGATCTCAATTCGTGTAATTTTTTCCTTCTGGAAGTTTGGAATTTCATAATCTGCAAAAAAACTGAGAAACATTTCTTAAAGACCTAAAGCAATATGATACTTTTTCCAGTTCAGTTGTTACTTAATTTACACATTACTTTAAAAAAAAAAAAAAAAAAAAAAAGCTCCTAGAGGTTTTTTGTTTTTTTTTTAAGTTTTATTTTTATTTATTTTAAGTTTTATTATTAAAGTTTTATTTTTATTTATTTTAAGTTTTATTATTATTTTATTTTTTTATTTTATTTTTACTTATTATTCTTGTATTCATCAGCTGTTAATGGTATAACTCTGTAGACATGCCTCTGATCACTAGGACATTTGTCTGTTTTGCTTTACCTGAATTTATAGAAGCAAGCATGAGATGGGGATTAGGATAATTTTCTTTGACCTCTATTTAAAACAATTAAATAAACATCTTGGCATCCTCTGTTGTGTTTGAATGTGTGGTATTCTTACCCTTTGATGGGATAGGCTCCTGTTGGCTCTGAACCATTCAGCATAACGTAGATCACCCCAGAACTATCCTTTGAATACTACAAGAAAAACCAAGTATTTTTAGCAAATAAAGACATGACATTTTTCTACGATAAAATGAGCGTTTCTACAAATTGTCAGTTCTAAATAATGGCAAGGATATGTTAAATGTGGCATTTCATATGGCTTGGTAGAAATGCAAACTGGTTTATTTTGGAAAGCAAATTGCCTTGAAATGTCAAAAAACTCATAGACTCAGTAATCCATGCCTGGGAATCTACAGTAAGAAGATACTAGAAAACACGCAGTATCTTATCCGCCGGAATAAACTAGGTTACTCTCCCTTAGCAAAGAACCTCAAAACTGCAGTGGCTTTAAATAACAATAACTTCTATCATGCTCACACTACATGTTTATCACAGGCCCTTTGGGATTTTGTTCCACGTGTCCTCAGTCTGGGACACATCTGCAAAATCTCTGATTGCCAGGAAAGGGAGGAGATAGTGACAAATCATGAACCACTTCTTAAAGACTTCCACCCCAAAGTCACACACATTACTCCCACTCGCAACTCATTGGTCAGGATAAGTCACATGTAAAGAACTTCATGAGACAGGGGAGTGCAAACCATGGGCTCAGAAGACAAGCCAGAAATATTTGGCAAGCAGTACTAAGGACTACCATGAGCATTGTGCACAAATATGTGTAGTGGAGCAGTCCTTGTAATTCTGAAACATTGTAACCACCACAAAATACTCAACAACAAGGGAATGGTAAGTAAACTATGATACTTATGTGTCTGAAATATTAACCAGCCCTTAGTAGCAGTCTACAAAGTACAACAAGTACAAAGATTTGCAATAGCATAGGAAGTGCTTACTTTTTTTTTTTTTTGAGACAGAGTCTCACTCTGTGACCCAGGCTGGAGTGCAGTGGTGTGACTTCGGCTCATTGCAACCTCCGCCTCCTGGGTTTAAGTGGTTCTCCTGCCTCAGCCTCCTGAGTAGCTGGGACTAAAGGTGTGTGCCACCACGCCCGGCTAATTTTTTGTGTTTTTAGTAGAGATGGGGTTTCACCATCTTAGCCAGGATGGTCTCGATCTCCTGAGCTCATGATTCGCCAGCCTTGGCCTCCCAAAGTGCTGGGATTACAGGCGTGAGCCACCGCGCCCGGCCGGGAGTGCTTTACTCTCAAAGCAAAATGCACCAGTTGTTGGAGGAGCATGAGCTCTACTGTGTTAAAAACACATGGGCAGAAGTCAAGGAATTCCCAAGAGAGACACAGGTCCACAGAAATTCCAAAACCTCCACTTCGAATTACTACCTGAAGCATGTAATTTCCCTCAGAAAATGTTTATACTAGAATGAAAGATGTATAGAGGTGAAAAATGTGGCACTGACGTATAGGTGGCTGGGTTCACTCCCTAGCAAAGTGACACTCAATACCAAACAATATACTCCATGTCATCCATGTCTCATATTGCTTCCAAACAGTGCTAACAGTCATAGTTAAATCCTTAAGTGCCAACACCTGATCACCACTATGCTAAACTGGTTGCCTTTAGGTGGTAGGAATGTCGGTGACATTTACATTTTCTACGTGTGTCATTCTTTGTTATGAGCAGCTATTATACTGACAAAAAGAAAAAATAGTTTTTAAAAAATGTATGCAGGGTCAGGCATGGCAGCTTACACCTGTAATCCCAGCACTGTGGGAGGCTGAGGTGGGCAGATCACCTGAGGTCAGAGTTCAAGACCAGCTTGGCTGATATGGCAAAAAACTGTCTCAACTAAAAATACAAAAAGTAGCCAGGTGTGGTGTCGTGCACCTGTAGTCCCAGCTACTTGGGAGGCTGAGGTGGAAGAAATCATTTGAACACAGGAGGCAGAGGTTGCAGTGAGCCAAGAATGTGCCACTGCACTCCAGCCTGCATACAGAGAGAGACTCCATCTCTAAAAAAAAGATAAAAATTAAAATTAAAAGTATGCAGATGCAATGAGGCTATATAATATCATGGCTGAAAGTCTGATCTTGAGTCAGCCTGCCTGTTTTCAAATCCTGGCTCCGCTGCTTGTCAGTTCCATAACCTTAGTAAAACTTCTTGACCTCTCTGTACCCTACTTTACTATCTGTAAAATAAGGATGTTAAGAGTCTCTGTCTCATAGAACAGTCATAAAGAAGAACATATTTAAAATAATAACTACTAACATTTATTGAATATTTATCTGCTAAGGTTCAAATCCACTTCTCATCACTATACCACACTACCTCTCCTCATACTTCCACTACACAGCAAATGCCAAGTGCTCAGAAAAATGTAGGCACTAGTATTAGATTTCCATTCTAGAATTGGAGGAAGTATAAGGTGGTGGTTTGGAGCACACGCTTGGAAGTCCGGCAGAGCCACTGGGTAAAATATATGGTCCCATTACGTGTAATGTTGACATCTCCCCTGAGTTACTATTTGATCCCACTTTCAGATGATGACATCTCTGTAACCTCCCAATTCTCAATGAGGAGCTCTGGCAGCCACTGCCAACTCACTGGAGTCTGTGCTTAAGATGAAACCTATAGGTAGTGGGAGCAAATGATGTTCCCTTGGGGTGGGCAGCAGAGGACAGTGATAAACAGAATATGTTTTATCTGAGAAGAACCCTCTGCTTAGTTCCAAACTGCAGCCACTACGGAGGATTTGACGAGGTCCTTCTCACCCTGACTAACAATCTACCTAGTGGACACCTGAGGATCTAGGGTAAAAGATGGGACCCAAAGAGACATACAGAGTCCTGAAAGGGGGTTGGCAGTGGTGGGTGGGAATGCCCTGACATTCACCTGGTCAGCCTAGCTAACACTTACTAGTCAACAGCTCTTTGCCAGGCACTGAACTAAGAACAGAACCCTCTTTATTTCTAATGTTTATTCTAATTCTCATGACAGAGAGTGTAAGCTGTAGTCCCTGGCATGTTATAGCTACTTATAGCTGTCATCAACTCTGGTAACATCATTCTCTGGGAGACAGACCTACTTTCAGGGGACTATTTCTGTGTCTCCCGCTTACCCTTCATCACCTGTCAGTTCCTCTCCCATTAACATTAGTCTTGTGGACATTTCTGAACTCCAGAAATTGATCTTAGGTGTCCTAGGGTCTTCCATAAGGCAGGAGTTGCCCCATTTTAGTAGCAATCAAAATCATTGATTGGAAATACTAACGATAACCATGACATAATGGAAATAATAATAACTTAAAACCCACATGTATAGCCAACATTTACAGAATGTTTTCTCTGTGCCAGGCACTGCATTAAGTACTTATTTCCTCAAATTCTCACAACTTTATAGAGCAGAGAGCATAAGTCATGATTTGGTAAAAGTGGAAAACGAGGCTCAAAGTTGAGTGATGACCTGGGGCACAGACTCTGAGCCACTGTGTTCCATTCTCACAGGTCCCACACATGCTCAACCACTGAGATATCATTCTCATGACTACCTGGATGGATGCCCTTTTCCAAAAGGAATCCACAGGATTATTTTCACAGTCTTCTGATGTAGGGCAGGATTGGTAATCGAGTCCTAAGGGGAAAGTATACAAACATGTTTTATTCCAAAGATTATCTGTCTCAGAGAAGAATTAACTTACAATATATGCCAGCTCCATGAAATAGACTTAGCCTCCGTTCTGTACAATGTGTACAAGTTTAACATCCACAGTTCTTCCCACTTGATCCACAAGGAGCCTGGTGAGGGACCACCTTGTCCATGATACTAAAGATGTTTGTCATTTTGCTCATCACAATGTAAGGAAGGCAGAGAACTCAACAGCTGGCTAGTGAGTGAGCCTAGCTGACCACTGCGCATCAGCATGTTAGCTGGGTTATTTCTCTACTGGAGCACTGGTAAAATAATTTTTAAAAATCCACAACCAACAACAACAACAAACACCCTTTGCTTTATTGGGAGAAGTGCCTTCTCCAAAAATTCAGTTTTAGACATTATCTTAGTAGTAAATACAAGGAAAAAAAGTACTGAGAAAGTGATAATCCTTAGCCAGAAAACAGAAATTTTATACCATTGAAAAATATATGAAATGTTAAAATGTATTACGTTTAAAAATGTTTAAGGACAGACTAAAGACTCCAGCAGATCAATGGGATGTGGGATGTGCTTATCATATACTCTATAAAGAAAAAAAAATTCTAGAGAGAAGTTGACCTCATATTCCCGGCAAATGCTGCTATTAATGGCATTATTTGTAATAGCCAAGATATGGAATAAACCGGTGTCCATCAACTAATTAATAAAGAAAACATAGCATATATACATAATGGAATACTATGTAGCCATTAAAAAATGAAATCCTGTCATTTACAACAACATGGATGAACCTGGAGGCCATTATGTCAAGCAAATAAGCCAGGCAGAGGAAAATATTCCATGATCTCCCTTATAAGTGGAATCTTCAAAAGTTGATCTCATAGAAGTTGAGCAAGAATAGTGGTTACCAGAGGCTGGGGAGGGGAATGGATAAGGGAGATGGAAAGAAGTTGGTCAACAAATACAATGTTACAGTTACACAGGAGGAATAAGCACTGGGGCTGTAATGCACAATAGGGTGGCAACAGCTAACAATAGTGTACTGTAGATTTCAAAATATCTAGTACAAAGGATTTTGAATTTCTCACCACAAAGAAAGAGTAAATGTTTAAGATGATAGATATACTAATTACTCTGATTTGATCATCACACAATGTATATATACATCAAAACATCACGTTGTACCCCATAAACATATATAGGTTTTATCTGTCAATGAAAAATAAAATAAAACTTAAATTTCAAAAAAAGAACCAAGGCCAGGTGCAGTGGCTCACGCCTGTAATCCCAGTGCTTTGGGAGGCTGAGGCAGGAGGATTGTTTGAAGTCAGGAGTTCAAGACCAGCCTGGGCAACATGGCAAGACCACGTGTCTACAAAAATAATTTAAAAAAACAGCCTATGTGGTGTGGTGTACCTGTATTCCAGCTACTCAAGAGGCTGAAGCAAGGTGATCCCTTGAGGACAGGACTTCAAGGTTGCAGTGAGCTATGATCATACCACTGCATTCCAGCCTGAGTGGCTGAGTGAGACTCTATATCAAAAAATAATAATAATTTAAAAATAAAATAAGAATGAACCGCTGTCAATGGTTTGGGTTTGCTATTTTCGTGACATTTTTCTAAGTGGATATTTTCATAGATGCATTGTATATATGTGTTTTTACTTGAATAGCATCATACCAATCACAGGGTTCTGTAACCTTATTTTTAGCTTAAAAATATGCTTCTTTCCGGGTCAATAAATTAAAAATCCCATCACCATTGCTGGTGGCCCCACAGGATTCCATGACACACACATACTGTTATTTAGCTGACCTGAACTGCTAGACTTCACTTCCTTCTGAAACAAAGAGGGCATAGATAGAAACAGGCAGTGGGTGAGGTGAGGAAGGAATAACTGGTGGTTTTCTGGAAGGCTCTCCCTTTCTCTATATGTTTTTCATCACATTCCTCCCCGCCTTCTCCCCACCTTCAGCATAATCAAACAAAGGCTTCCTGGTCATCTCCACTGAAAGAATGGCTGTGTCCATTTTACCTGGAACCTGCGATGCTGCCAATCTCACTCATGGTGAAAAGCAGAGGCCTCACAACATCCAGTGCCATCTGACCCTCCTTTATTCCTCTAGCCTCATAGCCCGCACTTTCCTCTTTGCCCACTTCCCTCCTTGCTATCAAATATGTCACACACGCTCCCACCTTAGGACCTTTGCAATTACTGTTCTCCTGTCAGAAAATGCTCTTTCTCTTCTTCAGGTCCTTGTTCAAATACCAGCTTCTCAGTGAGGTTTTCAGTGGGCATCTAGGTTAAAATACAACACTTTCCTCTCCCTGGCCCTCCACCCTCCAGTTTTTGTGTCCTTATTACCTGTTTTATTTTTCTCCATAGCCCTTATAATCTGAAGGCAGACTATATATTTCACTTGCCTGTTTATTGTCTTACCTGCCCCCCTATAATGTAAGCATGAGGTATTAATTTCCTCTTTTATTCTCTACTGGGTTCCCACTGTCTAGAAGATGAGGGTCTGGCACATAGTAGACACTATAAATTTTAGTTTGATGGACAAATGAATGGAGGAGAAATAAAAAGAACTGATTTTAGGTTAACTCTTTGTTATGTTTTCCCCCTTTTCGTGCCCAGTCTCACTCTGTCACCCAGGCTGCAGTGCAGTGGTGTGTTCTTGGCTTAGTGCAACCTCCATCTCCAGGGTTCAAGGGATTCTCCGGTCTCAGCCTCCCAAGTAGCTGGGATGACAGGCATGCACCATCACACCTGGCTAATTTTTTTGTATTTTTAGTAGAAATGTGGTTTCTTCATGTTGGCCAAGCTGGTCTCGAACTCCTGACCTCAAATGATCCACCAACCTCGGCCTCCCAAAGTGCTGGGATTACAAGAGTGAACTACCACGCCTAGTCTGACATTATGTTAACTTTTAAAATGACTCTGATATCCAGGAAGGATCTCCAGTTTTCATGAGAGGAACACTCCCTCAACTCTTTCCTTGCTAGCCTCCCTCCTCAAGCTTCCTTGATGCCCTGGAGGCTGGTGTCTCTCTCTGCTACTCTTCGGCACACCATTTTCCTGCATTACAGCCCATATCACTCAAGTTAATACCCACTATGAGGCTATAAGCTCCCTGAAAATGGTGACTGCTGTGTTGCCAGCTCCTAGCACCACAGTTGGATGAATGAGGCGAGTTTGCAATACATTCGGGCCAGCTCTTGTGACTCTAACATTCCCTATGACTTGGATCTCGAAATCTCTTCTGGTGGCCTGGAGTGGTGTTAAAGCATACAGGCTTCAGAATCTATCAGGACAGAGCTGGGACCCAGCCTTACCATTTCCAGTCATTTATCCTCCTTAAGCTTCAGCTTCCCGCTCTGGACAAATGAGGATAGCAAGGCAGAGTTGCGCAAGGTTGAGAATATGGGCTCTGGAGTCCGACTGTCTGCTGCTTACTAGCTTATGCTATCCTGAGCAGGTTTCTTAATCTTTCTGTGCCTCAGTTTCCTCATTCATCGAAGTGGGGATTATGATAGAATCCCATGAGGCTGTTGTGGCATTAAATGAATATATATATATATGTGTGTGCGTGTGTGTTTGTGTGTATGTGTATATGTATACATAGCACTATATATATATATTGCTTAGACTGGCACCTGCAAAAGATACGTATTCTCTAGCATTGTTATTATTAACTATTCTTGACACTTATCTCAGAGGACTTGGAGAGGATCAAATGAAATGAATGCATATGAAAGCATTTAGCATAAATGCTAATGCACAGTACATAGGAGCTCTTAAGTCTCCTGTGATCTGTGCAGGAAACTTACCAGAGGCATTTTTCTGTCGACACCAGCTCAAGAAATCTGCAACTCTGCCATACAGAACATCGCTCACGGGCATAAAACGACGGGTGTTATCCGAAAAACTGTTAACAAGGAGGTGGCTATTTTCCCAGAACAGGGACTAAGGAAAGACAAACAAAATATCAAAATACAAAACAAAATCAAAACAGACTCCTTAGGCACAATATTGTCAAGGCAAGTCAGTCAATCCAGTTCTCATTCAACTCTGACCTGCTGAACAACAACTTAACTTTCCTTTTTGTTGTCTTCATTTATTCATTCAAAGAGTGCTAGCATCTCTCCTCCCTTTCTTCCCAGGAGATCATGCAAATGTTAATGAAATATTTTCTCACTAGTACAAAATACACATGCATGTGATAAGATTACCTACATTAAAAATGATCGGCTGGGCACAGTGGCTCATGCCTATAATCCAAGCACTTTGCAAGGCTGAGGCAGGCAGATCGCAAAGTCAAGAGATCGAGACCATCCTGTCCAACATGGAGAAACTCCGTCTCTACTAAAAATACAAAAATTAGCTTGGCATGGTGGCGCGCACCTGTAGTTCCAGCTACTTGGGAGGCTGAAGCAGAAGAATCACTTGAAGCCGGGAGGCAGAGGTTGCAGTGAGCCAAGATCATGATACTGCACTCCAGCCTAGTGATAGAGCAAGATTCCATCTAAAAAAAAAAAAAATCAAGGGACCTGGGCTGGAATCCTGGATCTGTCATACATTAGATATGTAATCTTGACCAAGGTGTTCAATCTTCTGTTTCTCAGTTTCTACTTCTGGAAAATGCAGAGCATGAGCCCTTTCTCTTCTTCCACAAATGTGGCCAGGAGAACATGCAATCACAAAAAGCACTTCCTAAAGTGTCAAGTGCCTCCAAAATACATTGCTTTTATATTATTATTATTATTTTTTTTTTTTTTTTTGAGACGGAGTCTTGCTCTGTTGCCAGGCTCCAGGCTGGAGTGCAGTGGCACAATCTTGGCTCACTGCAACCTCTGCCTCCTTGGTTCAAGCAATTCTCCTGCCTCAGCCTCCCTAGTAGCTGGGACTACAGGCATGTGCCACCAAGCCCAGCTAATTTTTGTATTTTAGTAGAGACGGGGTTTCACCATGTTGGCCAGGATGGTCTCAATCTCCTGACCTTGTGATCCACCCTTGTTGGCCTCCCAAAGTGCTGGGATTACAGGTGTGAGCAACTGCGCCCGGCCGCTTTTACATTATACTTTATAGTTTCCACTACAGCTTTTTCATACAACAATAACACAAATCCCCCCGTCACTATTTCATCTGACCCTCAGTAGTTCCATCAGTTTATATTTAGACTAGAAGGTCCCCAAGGGTGAGGGAGGTTTTTCACTATTACATCCTTAACCTGTAGCACCAATGACTGGCAAACAAATAGCCCAGGAAGTATACTGAGTTCATCAACTAGCACCAAATCTATGAAAGAGAAGGAAAAACAGTTGGCTTCCCCCTTTTAGTGACAGGAAGGCAGTGAGATTCAAAAACAGCATATACTTAAAACTCATGTTTTCAGTCTATTCTATCTTTGAACCTCACAGTTCCATTTACTTACTTTTACAAATAACACACAATAGAAAAAAATCAGGTTAAGAGTGTTTATTTCAGAGAAACAAAAATGGTGTCTAGCTTTCTTTAAACTTGAGATATTGTTTGAAGCAAGGGTTTTATGGAAATGTTTTCATTTATTTTCATTTTATTAGACCTTAGGGTGCAGACAGAATAAGATATGTGGTTTTCTTAAAGAAACTGGTACTGAATGAATATCATCTTAAGACCCATTAAATGGAGAGACTAGTCTCCTGGGAGGATACTGAGATTGAGGGTTTTCTGAATTTCTCAAGGGTCAGGACATTGGGCCAGTTAAGATGAAGGTTATTTAGAAAGGGACAGGTGTGGAGGCTCAGTGTGACAGGTATGGCCATGTCCTGATGTCCTTGTGGTGATTCTCACAGTGACTTGCTGATTTAGGAAATTTTCTTCTGCCCACAACCGGCAGGACATCTAGAATCACTGTTGGAAACTCACATGGTTTGGATTTGTGTTTCTTGTCAAAGCGTAATTGTCTATGTTGGAGGTGGGGCCAGGTGTGAGGTGATTGGATTATGGGGGCAGATTTCCCCCTTTGGTGCTGTTTTCGTGATGGAGTTCTCAGAAGATCCTATTATCTACAAATGTATGGCACCTCCCTCTGCCCTTGGTCCTGCTCGTGCCATATAAGACAACTGCTCCCACTTTGCCTTACACAGGAGTAAAAGCTCCCAGTCCTCCCAGAAGCCAATGTTGCCATCCTTCCTGTACAGACTGTGGAACTGTGAACCAGCACACTGTGTGTGCTGCCTGATGTTTCTGTGATGTTGCAGGATGCAGGGGACAGCTAATCTCACACCTGGCCCACACACCATCCATTTCTGTAGAAACAGAGCAAAGTTTTACCCAAGATGGTTGTAGCATTACCTTATCTCTGGGAATAGAGTGCCTGGAGAGGTTAATAAAAAGGTCATAGTCCGAGGGAAGCACAGAACAGGGATCCTTGGCCAGCACCACTTTAAAGGCTTCCCAGATGGCTGTGCAGTTCTTGTTCCTGGGCAAAAGTACAATTGGGAAGAAAACACACACATGAACATCACGATGTAATGTGATGTATTGTCACTTCTCTAAGAACTTTACAAGAGATTTTGTCATATAGTGACTCTGCAGAAGCAGGCTTACAAAAAAGACAACAAACTGTCATGGCTCAGGTGACAGATTCAGAAATCTGACACTGGAGTTGTCTCTCAGAAGGCACTGCACAGATTTCTCAGAGCTAAGGAACACAGCCTTGCCCCAGGCTCACAGAGACAAGCAGGATGTGACAATTTCAGTAAACTATACACAGGTGCCTCTTCATTTAGACCTAACAGCGGGGCCGGTCCCATTGTCCAGGTCCACTGTGGAAATCAGGGACCAGGTGAGGCCAGGCCAGGCCAGCCAGCAGGAGGTGTGATGTCAGGAGGGAGTCCCAGTGCTGCAAAAGGCTCCCACCCCTGGTAAGGCGGGTGAACCCTCCAGTGCCAGCCCCTCTTGAGGTCCATGCTAGTTTTTGAAAAATATTTCCCATGGCATCTGTAACTTTTTGTTTCTCATACTGGCTGGTGTGTAGTGCTTCTTATATTATTCTCTGCTGTTTTTTTATTTGCCTGAAATGTATGACAATAAAAACAATCAGCACAAGAAAGAGACATCACAAGCATAAGAAAAGGGGGGCCCACAGAAGGAACAAAAATCAGTAAGAAATGCAGTGCTAGCAAGAAAGACCCAAACTTCAGAAATCCTCTAGATTTAGGGGATCTGAAATTTGAATTCCAGAAGGACTGGACTCAAGGAATTCTAACCTGAGACCACATTCTGGTTTCTGAGGGTTCAAACTAAATGTGCTGGCTGGCAATGGGCTGTTACGCAGTTCACTTCTACCCAGCCCTCACTTCTAGAGGGATACCTCTCCACTCTCTTTCACGAACACACACACACACACAGACTTACACATCCATCACCTCTAGAACACACACACTGCCACCGCTAGAATAAACACATACATCTTACCTCTAGAACACACATATGCACACATGCCTCACGTCTAGAACACACACATCTCACCTCTAGAACACATACGCATACTAATATGATTAGGCTCATCTTGAATCATAATCCCCATAATCCCCACATATCTAGGGAGAGACCAGGTGGGAGGTAATTGAATCATAACGGTGGTTTCCCCTATGCTCTTCTCATGATAGTGAGTCTCACAAGATCAAATGGTTTTATAAGCGTCTGGCATTTGCCCCTGCTTGTACTCACTCTGTCCTGCCTTCCTGTGAAGAAGATGCCTCTCTTTTACCTTGACTTTGGCTACCCCAGCAATGCGGAACTGTGAGTCAGTTAAACCTCTTTCCTGTATAAATTACTCAGTCTCTGGTATTTCTTCATAGCAGTGTGAGAACAGACTAATACACACGCGCACACACACACACACACACACCCCTCACCTCTAGAACACACACACATCTCACCTCTAGAACACACACACACACCCCTCACCTCTAGAACACACACACTCCTCACCTCTAGAACACACACACTCCTCACCTCTAGAACACACACACTCCTCACCTCTAGAACACACACACTCCTCACCTCTAGAACACATACACATCTCACCTCTAGAACACACACACACACCCCTCACCTCTAACACAGCTCACCCCCTCACCTGCAGACACACTTCACAGCCCCCTCCACACTCACCCCCATCCTTCAGGACCATCGCTGTCTCCACACTCACCTCTCCCCTCAAGGCCTCTCTCATTGCCCCTTCACACCGACTTTTAGCGCCAGTTTTCCCCTCCCCACGCTCTCTACACCGTTGCCTCTTTTCCCCTCCCGCTTCCAGTCTGCCCGCGGCCTCACCGCTGCTCGGGACTCAGCAGCGCGCGGTACTCGGCGCAGCGGCCCAGGAAGATGGCCTGCAGCTGCGGGCTGGTGCCCTCCCCGCTCCACAGCGCACGCGCCCCGCCCGCCGCCAGCAGCAGCAGCAGCAGCCGCGACGCCCCGCACTCCCGGGCCGCCATCGGGGAACTTTGGTCCCTCCAGCCCCGTGCCTTCTCCATTCTCCTTCTCTCCTTCTACTTAGACTGCTCCTCAAACTGATGTTGGGCGGGACTCTAGCTCTGACAATTCGCTGTTTTCCGTTTCCAGATTCAGTCTACTTCAAGCCTGAGCTCGGGGCGGGGCGCGGTGGCTCAGGCCAGCAGTCCCAGCACTCTGGGAGGCCGAGTGGGGCGGATCGCTTGAGTGTAGTCTGTTAGGCAGACGAACCTGAGTAACATAGGTAACAAACTTGCTCTCTACAAAAAAATTTAAAAAGCCAGTCTTGGTGCTGCGCACCTGCAGTCCCAGCTACTTGCTAGGCTGAGATGGGAGAAGGCCTTGACCCCAGGGGATCAGTGACTGCAGTGAGCAGTGATCCCACCACTGCACTCCAGCCCTGGAAGACAGAGCCAGACCCTTAAAAAAAAAAAAAAAAAAAATGAGCTTGGAACATCACCTGGGACAGGACCGGTGCATTGTGGCCCATAATCTTAACTGGTGTCCTGGGGAGGGAGTCCCAAAGAAGCCACGAGGTTGAAGGAAAGGTAAGTCATCAGAGAAGAAAGACTTTTCCTTTTCCAACGGATGACAAGTTTGACAAATGCCCTCTTTCACACAGCCAATAAGTGAGTTTTGTTTGTTTTCAGGAAATAATAACTACGACGACATGCCAAGCACTTTGCAAGCATAATATTCATTACTTTCCGCAGCATCCTTCCTAGCTAGGGTTATAATTATTCTCTCTTTACTAATGGATAAACTCAGGGACGTTAAGTATGTTTGGCCCTCTATATTTGTGAATTCATCATCCAGATTCAACTAACCATGGATGAGAAACATTTGGGGAAAAAAAGAATGCTTGCGTCTGTACTGAACGTAAATGAACTTTATTTTCCTTGTTATCAAGCCCTAAATAATACAACTACTTACATAACAGGTACTAGATATTGTAAGGAATCTAAAGATGATTTGAATTATAGGAAAGGATGTGCAAATACTGTACTACACCATTTAATAGAAAGGCCTTGAGCATCTGTGGATTTTGGTATCCAGAGTTGTCCCAGAACCAATTCTCCATGGATACCTACTGCCGACTAACTTGTCAGAGGTCACAATCTCCCTTCCTGCTAGATGCAAAATCCTGGAGGCCGTCAGTTTAAGAGAGCTGGTATTAACAGAATTCCACGTGGAGGCCCAAGTCCTCAATTTTTACAGTAATGACAGCAATGAACTCTGAGTGCCTGGCAAATACTTGATAAACACGAGGGAGGACAGCACAGGTGTAGGTGTTCTACCCTGTTTTATTTGAATCTCTTGTTTTCTATAACCAAAATCCACATTCTCCGGTTTAGTCCCTCCTTAAGTTAAATCCACTTTCCAGAGGTAAGTATTTTTAATTATTTCAACAGTTTTGTTCCTGGTGTTTACTTCCATATTTCTAAATAACGTGTGAACCCCGAAAATTTGACAGATCTCAGTTAATTTACAAAGTTTACTTTACGAAGGTTGAAGAGGGCATCTGTGACACAGCCTCAGGAAGTCCTGATGACACGTGCCCAAGGTAGTTGGGGAACAACTTGGCTTTATACATTTTTTTTTAGATGGAGTTTTGCTCTTGTTGCCCAGGCTGGAGTGCAATGGCGTGGCCACAACCTCCACCTCCCCAGTTCAAGCTATCCTCAGCCTCCGGAGTAGCTGGGAGCCATGAGCCACCACGCCTGGCTAATTTTTCGTATTTTTAGTACAGATGGGGTTTCTCCATGTTGGTCAGGCTGGTCTCCAACTCCCGACCTCAGGTGATCCTCCCATCTCAGCCTCCCAAAGTGTTGGGATTACAGGCATGAGCCATCATGCCCTGCAGCTTTATACATTTTAGGGAAACATGAAACATCAATCAATATATGTGAGAAGTACATTGGTTACGTCCAGAAAGGCGGGGACAACTTGAAGCAGGGAGGAGGCTTCCAGGTCACAGGTAGGTGAGAGACAAATGGTTGCCTTCTTTTGAGTTTCTGATAAGCCTTTCCAAAAGGGGCCATCAGAATATGCATCTATCTCAGTGAGCAGAGGAATGACTTTGAATAGAGTGGGAGGCAGGTTTGCTCTGAGCATTTCCCAGCCTGACTTTGCCATTTAGTTTAGTAATTTGGGGGACCCAAGATTTTCCTTTCACACATGCCTGGTATGGTTTGTCCCCACCAAATCTCATGTTAAATTGTAATCCCCAGTGTTGGAGGTGGGGCCTGGTGGGAGGTGATTTGATTATGGGGGTGGGTTTCTCATGAGTGGTCTAGCACCATCCCCTTGGTGCTGTTCTCATGATAGTGACTGAGATCTGATTGTTTAAAAGTGCGTAGCACTTCTTCCCTCTCTCTCTTACTCCCTGCTGCCACCATGTAAGATGCCTTGCTCCCTCTTTGCCTTCCACCACATTTGGAAACTTCCTGAAGCCTCCTCAGACGCAGAAGCCACTATGCTTCCTTTACAGCCTGAAGAACTGTGAGCCAATTAAACCTCTACACCGCATGTTCTCACTCATAGGTGGGTGTTGAACAATGAGAACACATGGACACAGGGAGGGGAGCATCACACACTGGGGTCTCTCCGGGGGAAATAGGGGTGGGACAGCAGGGGTGGGGAGTTGGGGAGAGATAGCATGGGGAGAAATGCCAGATATAGGTGATGGGGAGGAAGGCAGCAAATCAGACTGCCATGTGTGTACCTATGCAACAATCTTGCATGTTCTTCACATGTACCTCAAAACCTAAAATGCAATAAAAAAATGACCAGTTTCAGGTATCTCTTTACAGCAATGCAAGAACAGACTAATACAATGCCTATATGCTATTTGTTGATGTTTCTGTTTCTTTCTTCTTTTTTCTTGACAGAGTCTCACTCTGTCACTCAGGGTACAGCGCAGTGGTGCGATCTTGGCTCACTGCAATCTCTGCCGCCCAGAGTGAAGCGATTCTCCTGCCTCAGCCTGGTGAGTACCTGGGATTACAGGCATGCGCCACCAAGCCTGGCTAAATTTTCTTATGTTTAGTAGTGACGGGGTTTCATCATGTTGGTCAGGCTGCTCTTGAACTCCTGACCTTGTAATCCACCCACCTCGGCCTCCCAAAGTGCTGGGATGACAGGCATGAACCACCACGCCTGGCCCGTTTCTGTTTTGGATATTCTTCTTTAATTTCCTAGTATGAACAAAGAGATTTTAGCTTTAATCCTGTCTCACCTCCAAAATGCATCCTTCTGCATTTTGCATTCAATAAAGTTGTGATATTGCCTTCATTCTCCTAATATGGCAATATTACAACTTTAAATCTGTTATCAGCATTTACAGTATTATGATCTTGCCAGTATTATTCATAGCTGAGCTTATAGCATTCTATGATTACATTTTATTTGTTGTAAACCACTTGTTTACCTTGGAGGTAATCATTGTCTATGCACCTCAATCCTAGCACTGGCCACACACACACTTATTTGTGTATTTGCTTGATATTCTATGAACACCTATGATTATGGTCAAACTCTCTGATAGACATGTAAATCTCTTGATACATTCAAAAACATCAGTCAATATCTCAGGGGATATGTATGATTTTTTTTTCTTTTTCTTTCTTTCTTTTTTTGAGATGGAGTCTCACTCTGTCGCTCAGGCTGGAATGCAGTGGCACAATCTTGGCTCACTGTAACCTCTACCTCCCATGTTCAAGTGATTGTCTTGCCTCGGCCTCCTGAGTAACTGGGATTACAGGTACATGCCACCACACCTGGCTAATTTTTTTATTTTTAGTGGAGGTAGGGTTTCTAGGCCGTCTCAAACTCTTGTCCTCGAGTGATCTGCAAGCCTCGGCCTCCCAAAGAGCTGGGATTATGGGCATGAGCCACTGCGCCCCATCTTTCTTTCTTTCTTTTTTTTTTTTTTGTGGGCAGGGGAGGGTGGATTCTTGAAAACATCCTTCCTGGAGCTGTCCAGTTTTCTGCCTGAATCTGAGCTTCTTGCTCTCTCTACTTGCTGCACAGCAGCCATCCTGGTAACTTCCTTTCATCTCTCCTGTGCTGAATGTCCTGTTTCCTAGTGATATGGTTTGGCTGTGTCCCCACCCAAATCTCCTAGAATTGTAGCTCCTAGAATTCCCATGTGTTATGGTAGAGAGCCAGAGGGTAGTAATTGATTCATGTAGCAAGTCTTTCTCATGCTATTCCTGTGATAGTGAATAAGTCTCCTGAGATCTGATGGGTTTATCACGGGTTTCCGATTTTGCTTCTTCCTCATTTTTCTCTTGCCACTGCCATGTAAGAAGTGCCTTTCAGGCCGGGCGCAGTGGCTCAAGCCTGTAATCCCAGCACTTTGGGAGGCCGAGGTGGGTGGATCACGAGGTAAAGAGATCGAGACCATCCTGGTCAACATGGTGAAACCCCGTCTCTACTAAAAATACAAATAATTAGCTGGGCATGGTGGCGCGTGCCTGTAATCCCAGCTACTCAGGAGGCTGAGGCAGGAGAATTGCCTGAACCCAGGAGGCGGAGGTTGCAGTGAACTGAGATCACGCCATTGCACTCCAGCCTGGGTAACAAGAGTGAAACTCCATCTCAAAAAAAAAAAAAAAAAAGAAGTGCCTTTCATGTCACACCAAGATTCTGAGGCCTCCCAGGCATGTGGAACTGTAAGTCCAATTAACCCTCTTTTTGTTTGCAGTTTCAGGTACGTCTTTGAGTAGCCTGAAAATGAACGAATACACCTAGATCTCATGTGTATGTATCCTCTTTCTTGTTTAATGGAGCACATCTTCCAATAGCTTCTTGAAAAGATACATAGGGTACTAAACTTTCTGAGATTTTTGCATAAGAATTCAAAATGTCATTATTCTATCCTCACACTTGATTGCGAATCTGGTTGGGGTTCTGAGATTTTTGCATAAGAATTCAAAATTTCATTATTCTAAGCTCACATTTGATTGAGAATTTAGTTGGGTAGATTTTTGTGTTAGAAAGCATTTCCCTTCAAAATTTTGAAGACTGTGCTCTATTATTTTCTGTGTTGCTGTTGAGAAATCTGAAGCCATTTTCATATTTCTATTTATTTGACCTTTTTGTTGTTGTTTATTCTTTGGCCTGTTTTTTTCCATCTGGAAGTTTTCAGAATTTCCTTTTATTGTCAAGAGTATGAAATTTCAGAGATGAACTTGGGGAAA